GGAAGAAATTTCTACCTGACACGCAAATGGAGGTTAATAAACTTGAGCACAGATCAGGCAAGATTTGGACGCTCCCAGAGCTTCTGGATGGCTTCAATGAAGTCATCGAGGAACTTGAACAGCTGGAAGATCATCAGGTTGGTAAATCAACGGTTCAAGAGTTTAGTGTCAATTCAATTACCCGTTCTCGTTCAAGGTCTACCTCTCCAGAGCCTACAATTAATCCTAATTGCTGTCTTTTTTGTACATCACGTAACCATGTTTCCATGCGCTGCAATCGTACAATGCCCGTGTCCACACGTCGTGTAATAGTTAAGTCGCTCCGTCTTTGCTGGAAGTGTTTGAGGCAAGGGCACACCAGCTCTCAATGTGGATACCCCAAATGTAAGCATTGCAGAGGAAATCATCATTCTATCCTTTGTACCAAAGAGGCACACTCGCGAAGCGATCATCAACGTCACACCTCTGACCGTCATCGTACACCATCTTCGGACTCCTCTCGTGATCATTCCAGATCCCCTTCTTACAAAGATCATCGTTACCGTTCACCCAATTACCGTTCTGAGGGCAGTACGTCGCCAACACAACACAGATCCCGCGGTGTTAAAACCCATTCGGTTCGTTTCACTACACTGGAAAGACGCAAGGACTCGCCGCATCCCAGCAAAACTTCTGCGCCACGTGAACAAGGAACGTCGGTCCACTATGTTTCGGGATCGGAGCGAGAATATGAGTCATCTGATCACCAAGACGATATGACGCAAAATATACAACTTGTCGCTGCAATTAATACGCCGAAAAGTTGCACTTTGATGACCGTCCAGGCGTCCATCCTCAATCCTAAGACAAGAAAACAACGCCCTGTCGTTATTCTGCTAGACACTGGAGCACAAACCAGCTTTATCAGTAAAGCAGCAGTCGAAGAACATCAGCTTGACGTGTTTGAGCAAGATCTACTTACCACATATTCGTTTGGAGCTGTGAGCACAACAGAACACTCTGGCAAGTCCTACATCACTTTAATTGATCGACACAATCAGCCGATATCGCTTGTGCTGCACACCAAAGATAGGCTTACTATTCCATCTCCACCGACTCGTTTAACGGAAGAAGATCGCGAAATCCTTCGTTCACTCAATGTGTCGCTGCATTCGCTTACAGCCGTTCGTCAGGTCACGCCTGACATCCTCATCGGCATAGATTATTTCTGGGATATTCTGACTATAAAATCACCAACAACTCTCCCTTCTGGATTAGTTCTTTGCTACACTCGATTCGGACCCACAATCTCAGGATCGAAGTTTTTTCGTTGAACTCATGCAACACAAACCTGTCGTCATCAATAGCATCTCCATCCAAAGCGATACTGACCCCATTTCTCGTTTCGATAGCCTCGACATCATCGGCATTACTGACAATCCTGACCCACTCTATGACCAACACGAAGACGCAAAAGTTTTGCAACGGTTTCAAGAAACCGCTCAGGTAATAAACGGACATCTCTACGTACAGTTCCCCTGGAAAAGTTCGCACCCTCGACTCGCTAACAACAAGTCGCTCGCTCTAAAGCGTCTTGAAAGTCAATACCGAACACTCAGTGCCAAATCAGCTCTATGGCAACTCTACTCGCGCACAGTTCAGGACTATCTGCAGAAAACGGAAACATACGAGAAGAAGACAGAAGAGAAAACCATCGTACAGATCACCACAGATGCTATACATTCCGCATCAACGCCGCCTAACAACGGAATACGCGACAGACGAACTCGAGGATGTCGTGCCTCATCACACAACGAATAAGGACGACCAGCCCTAATGACTGCTTGTATTCGTCGCACCGATCGAACATATATCACCGATCGTCGTGGGCCATTATTGATCGCGTGCCGCGTCTAAACACCCATATCGCTTGATAACCGAGTAAGAAGAACGTTTTACGAGGGAATTCCGCCTCCATCGGGCAAGGATGCAACTAGCATTTGTGTGAAAGCCGCCTACTAAGCACCGCCCAGACAACACAGAATTTATCGTTAACACAGCGTCCGATTCGCAAAAACCGCACAGGCGCGCCCCATTTTTATAGCCCTCTATCGGCTGATTAATACCTTTGCTCGTGACTGCGACTTGTTGTCCTTGAATCCAGGAAATCACGCACATCACGTCGATAAATATTGTCTGTGCATCAACCAAAGCAAAGCCATTCCAAAATATAGGATCCAAAAACCCTGATTCACTCTGATAACAGAACCTCGAGAGTCTAATGCAATTCTAATAGGTGAGCGTTTATCAAACACATCTCGATCACCCATCAATGCACAGACCGGATAAAAGAATACAAATCTGTTCACTTTAGGCTTCGGCGTGGAACCCTCCCATTGGACAACCATAAATCCTCGGCACAATCAAACACCTTGCCATGCAGTTCAACTCAATACCCAAGTATTCTAAACCACAGCGAAAAGCTTTAGCGCAACGTTGATCCATTTAAGGCCTTTTATCCACCAATTTTCTCTCCATTCAAATATCCTTTTTTCAGATGCATGTCAAATCCTAACCAAAATGGACATCCGCTCGATCCCAACTACACGTTGCACAGCTTGACAGGAATCACACGCCATTCCACCATACCGGCGCGCATAACTCCCCCTTCGCTTGATTGACCCGCATATTCGGCCGAAGCCTCCCAACGCCTCTATATCTGTGTAATCTCTTGCGAAACGACCACCGGTTAGAGACCATCTATATAGCTAACTCGATACAAGGTCCGACAAGTAAGCCACGAACCATCCAGTCCAAAACGCATACGGACATCGGTTAGCTGCCCCACTCATCAAGTCTTGGCGCCGCTAAATTTGCCATCACCTCAATTATCCAACTCGAAAATCTCGACAATTCAGTCTTCACACTTCACTAGTCATTACATTGAAACATGTCACACCCCCTCTTGCTACTAAGCCATACACCAGGACACAGAAATAACAGACCATCGGATCACTATACCGTTCTTAACATCCTACGACGGCCTCTAATCGATCCGGATTAACTACCACGCGACGCTCACGAGGCATTCTCACACTCAAGCGTCAACACAACGAGGAGGAATCATTGAAGACTCCAATTGTGTCACGGTCTCTTTACTACCGTTATGCCGTATAACGCTTACTATAGGTACCTCCGCTCGTCTTGGCCTAAAAATGAAGGCTTTTCAAAACCCCCCGTCAATGACGGAGAGGTGCAAAGTGAATATCAGTCACTTGTTGTTTCGCAGCCTGTTGAGTATGTGTCGCCATTACGGTTCCATACTATTAGCTTCGTACTCTATACTCGTTCGCTCGACCGTTTACGCTCTGAAATTTATTCACGCCCTCTTTACCAAAGTGGGACGCCATAGCACCGTCTTCGACTCGCAGAAGCTAAGCGTTTCTGAGCTCATTTCCACTTCGGAATACGAGGAAGCGGAAGTCCTTCTCATTAAGGAGCATTATCGCGAAGGTTCGATGATCCTCAGCCGTTTACCGCTTTATCGCTTCAATGCTCAGCGCTCAGAAAACGGTCTCATATATTGTCCGCATCGTGTACAGCAGGCTGGTAATATTAATCCTGCGCCTATACTTCTAGTTCCTTCTCATAAATTGGTGCAGCTTGTTGTCACCCATATTCACTTTAAGCAGTTTCACTCAGGCGTACACGCCACAATTGCAACACTTCGGAGGTCTTATTTTATTCCTTCTATTCGGAGCACTGTTGCCAAAATTCTCCGCAAATGTGTTGTCTGCAGGAAAGCCAACGCCTTGCCGTATCGATATCCGGATATGCCGAAACTGCCCAAGGAACGCATTAGTCGATCACGACCTTTCCAAAATGTTGGCTTGGATTACCTAGGACCACTTCAGTATTTGGATTCGACGCAAATGCCATCTAAACTCTGGATTTGCCTTCTTACTTGCATGGCAACCAGAGCCATTCACCTCGAAATCGTGTTGGACAATTCAACACAAGAATTCCTTCTCGCGTTTCGACGTTTTGTCGCACGTCGCGGAACTCCTGATCTAGTCCTCAGTGACAATTCATCTACGTTTCGTTCGGCTAGTGACACATTAGAACATGTTATCTACGGCCAACACTCAGCCAGGCAGCTTTCTGCTTATCTTACTTGTCACCGTATTCGTTGGAAGTTTATTACCCCACTGTCCCCCTGGAAAGGTGGGTTTTACGAGCGACTAGTGGGTCTCGTCAAAACCGCCATACGTAAATCCATTGGTCGTTCCCTTATTTCATTGCAGCAGTTTCAGACAGTCACGTTCGAAATAGAAGCAACTTTGAATAGTCGTCCTCTTACTTCACTTACGGACACTACTAGTTCGCCGACTATATTACGTCCTATAGATTTTATTTCGCCTCAAGTGCAACTTCAGACACCACCTGCTACTAACGAGCACACTTTCGACTTGTCGCATCAACGCCTCACAGAATGGTATCAAAGTACCACCTCTATTCTGGATCAGTTTTGGACTATCTGGTCCACCGATTACTTGTCAGCCATCTCTGAGCGTTATATCCGACGTATCCAGCAAGGCAAGTCAACTACTCGTGCACCCCAGATAGGCGAAATCGTGCTTGTCGGTGACAAACAACTTCCCCGTGGGCAGTGGCCCCTCGCAGTGATTACAAGCTTGAATTCGGATAGCACAAAAAACGTTCGATCAGCAACAATAAGGACATCAAATGGGAGAATCCTACAGAGATCCATAAATCAGCTCTATCCCTTAGAGATTACCCTACAAGAATCTGAGCACGAGGTTGCTTCTAAAATTCCAGCGCGCGTTCAACCATTCAGAACTGTAAAAGGTAGTCGAATCTTTAAAAAATAGTGTAGTCATTCATGCATTCGCTCATTTCATCAATTAATATATCATTTATATTCACATTTATATTGTTTATATTCACATATGCACTGTATATCATACCTTACATATACACCTTATGATCTCTGTTAGTCTAATAATCATTTTCATTTCATTCATCTACAATCTGTTCACTTCATTCTTAAGTTAAAGCCGCAAGCAATCTTATTTCCAGCAAATCATACCTTGTTCCGTTCAGTTTCACTGCTCAGAATACATAAAAAATACTTTAAACTCACTCCTTCTCTTACTTGTTGCATTACGCTCACAAAAATATGCGAAAGTCCCTTCTCTTATGACGTTCTTGTTGCGTGCGTCGTCCTTTCGCGGGTTTGGCTCGCGCTCATTAATCGCGATAGGACCGCGGCGCGTCGATCAATACGGTAACATTGCATGCGCTTGCTACGTCGATGCACGCAATGCACGGTCTCAACGCTTTTAGCGCTCTCGCATGTTTACGCGCGCTCTTGTCTCTACTCAACGTGCACTCCCTCGTCGATCGATCGATAATGCGCGGCAACATTTGAAACGCTATGCGTCGGCTCAATTCGTTGACTTGTAGCCACGACTAGTCTTCACTGGTCGCTTCGAATTTCCTTCAGCGTTCTGTTTTTGTTTCAACTGAGAGTTCCTCTCACTCTTTGCTGCGCGTTCTGCCTTTGTTTTTTAAGAGCTTCCTCTTACTCTTTGCGGCGCGTTCTGCTTTTGTTTTTTAAGAGTTCTTCTTACTCTTTGCTGCGAGTTCCTCTTATTCTTTGCTACGGATGCATTGCTCACAACTCGCATTTCCTTGCCATTTCCATGTCGATCATTGTTTTTGTTGGAACTCTTACAATTCGATTTTTTCTGTCTGTCCTTTTTCAGCGACATTTCCGAGTGCGATGCTGCCGTGGTTCGGAGCGATAAGCGTCTACGCGTGCCTAGTGGCCACGCTGTCGAATGTGTCATCATGCTAGCGCGTTCTATAAATTGTGCATATGGGTCTTCCACCATCGCTGAATTACTGCTGAAAGGCCAACTTTGAATCAGTTCATCGTATACATATTCTCATTTGGCTTTTATATCATATAGCGTAAAATAGATCTCAGCGCTCATGTCACGTACGTTCATTTGTGACGCGGTAATGACACTTGTGACTCCATTCTTCACTCGACATGATTGCGCCACTATGTGGGAAGCGCCAGCTGGTCTTAGTTGCTTAAGTAGAGGTACTAAAGGTCATTTTACGCCTTCTATAGACGCGACATCAAAAAAAAAAAGTTTATCATGCTGATGCAAGTGCCTCGCTTCCACTTACTGTCATGTATCCGCCTTGACATTGTGAAAGGCTTTCACCCGGCAATTCCGATCTTGATCCCATCGCTATTCATCATATTCATATTTCACTCATCTATATTCACAACGCGCAGACTTGCGGAGAAACTTGCCTCACATTTTCTTAAAGCGTCTTTGGCTGTTCAATCCGCATGGTTAGCACTTACTTCATCATCTCTGCTTTTATCAGTGGCTCAATCAGCCCTCATATATATTGTTTTTATTTGTGCACCTACACCTTTTCTTGACTTTGAGTATAGTGCCTTTATGAAAGGACAGTCAGTGTAAGTGAAACAACGAGCCTTATTATTCCTAATTACTCATTCACAATGCGTTACTTCTGTTTGAGCTGAGTTATCGTACAAAGCCACTCAGAAAATATATTCCTTTTCGCTGCCTAGACGAGCTCTTAACCATTAATATAACACCCTTTGATTATCGCTTTGTGTAATATTCTGCCAGAGAACCACACAAAGTCAAGTGGTTTTAAGCCATGTAATTATATATATATTATTTCAATTAATATGCGCCTATTAATAGCGTCCAACTATGTTATAACTATTTTCAGCTGTTCATATGCAT